ATTTTTGATAAATCCCACCTTTTAGTCCTAGTTGACATTTTTGGTAAACCTAGACTTGCTTCTGGCCCTAGCTGGCATTCTTTTGTAAACCTCAAGCTCTTTCTGGCCCTAGCTACAGTCAGTGGCGGAGCCAGAAAATAATGTGAGTGGGGGCGTACTTAAATTTGAGATCTCACTTCTAAGAAAAAATTGCATCTTTCACAATTTTGTTTGAAGAATTTGCTTAGACAAGAAGCTAAAACATATAAATGCTACAGGTGAATTTTGAACCTTGGACACTCCATCTTCATATTCAAGATTCAACCCATTGATCTACTAAACACTTTACTGATTTTTCTATGTGCTTATATATTAGTAGAGAGGGTTGAGGGGGGGCAGTGGGTGCTCCGCCACTGGCTACAGTTAGAACTTTTGATAAATCCCGCCTTATGATCTTAGCTGATATTTTTGAGTGCGGTCTTGAAAACATAGAATATAATGTGTAAACGCAGGTTTATGCAGCAAGAATTGACGACCCAGATTCGGACACATTCGAGAGATGCTCCAAGGATACATTCAAGATTAAGGGGCCATGCATGGATGAAGTGTGTTATCTGTATCTATACAGGGTGGGATCGGACGGCTGGAAACCGCAGACCGTGACTGTATACATCTCTGCTCGCAATTATGTTACGTTTACATACAACAGATTTGTACCCAGAGGAGTGTGGTATGGCTTCAATCACTGCAAAAATGCTGCGTCCATCTCAACTGTTGTGTAGAGAAGACACAACTGAGTCGGATCGGAGCGAGATGAGATTGATTGCTTATTATGTATGTATGTGTACACGAATGATGAGTGGATTTTTATGAATTTGGAATAAGTTTTCGTGTGGACTATATTGTTAATTTCATTTAATTTATTACAATTATATATTTATGTCATCTTTTCTTTGTTGTGTTGCTCCAATTCGAAACCATAATATCTTACAGTTTAAATTAGGATATTTTAACAACAAAGTTACAAGTTCAATTTTTAATAAGACATGTATATTGACTTTCTTAATCGAATAAGTCGATCAGTTATGAGTAAATTAAATATGGTAATTTAGTTCTTTATAGTCCTTTTTTAGTTAGGATTACAATGCGAGACTTACCCAATAATACATCCTTACAATAGTGGTTGGGGGTTTCACTTGTCACAAAAAAGAAAATTTTATATTAATTTTTTATGGAGTCAAATTCTAATAACAATATCTCAATTTCAATATTTTGATTCAATTGCATATATACTTTTTAAATTTAGTGACCTGATTGTACAAAAACGTTAAATTCAATAGCCTATATATTTGATATTTTTTCCTAAAAAGATTGTTAGTCCATCAATGCTAATTGCTAAGTGTTGGTTTTACTATAGTTGATAAAAATGTCTAATTAAACAATGCAAACCTTAACTAAATATTTCCTTGTATATATATAAAAATTAAATATATCAGCTTACGCTATTACCTCCAAAATAAACTTATGAAATTGAAAAAAAATGTATAGATACAAAATCTAGAAAAAAAATGTCAAGTCCACTAGCTCAATATCGATTTATTCCTTGTTATAAATAAAACGAAAAACAAAAAGCAATTAGTGTTTGTAGCTTAGTGGATAGAGCGTCTGTTTCCTAAGTAGAAAGTCTCGACCCCTACCTGACGCGAAATAAAATAAACACTACGTTCATGACTGTGTCAATATACTACCATTGCACCCCAACTTTTGCTACCATTAAGAGTGAATTTGAGGAATAAGATATCAAATAAACTTTTGAATTCACAAAAGAAATAAAAATATTTTCAACCTTTGTACAAAACAGTACAAATCTTAATTCTTTGAACTCAATTTCCTCTAAATTTGATATCTTGAGAGCTTGCTATTATAGAACTATTAAATGATTATTAATAGGAGTTTTTCAATTTAATGACTACAACTACAAAAACATTTGACAACTAATTAGATTAACTACCAAGTGGCTTGTGATTTATTGGTAATTGGTTGCTCCCTTATATAGGAGGTTTAAGTTTTGAGCCTCAGTGTATATATAAGGCCAAATAAAAAGTTTTAACTAAATTTGCTTATCTTCGAAATTATGTGAAAATTAAGTAGGAATAGAATTGTAATTCCCTCCAACCAATTCAAACGCCCTGTTAGTTTCAATCAAATTAATTCCATTATCTTCGATTGTGTTAAATAATGAACTTGACATTAATGTGCAAATTTAATTAAGAGGCATATTAAGATGAGAGGTATATAAAATTTTATTTATTTTAAATTTTGTTAGTAGTATTTTTTTTTTTTTAATTTAAATAACTACTTCACATGTATATTAAAACAAAAATTTAAAAATCATTACAAGAAAAAATTATATAGACAACGGTTTTTAACGATTGTCGTAGGGATAAAAAGGGGTTCACACCTTTTAGTCTTTTTCCTCCTCCAAGATGAAAAAGAATAGAGTTGAAATGAAACATAAAAAATGCATGCTTATATCAATATACTAATGAAGTTGGTAATAAATATACGAACTGGTATTAAACTTTAAAAAAAAAAAAAAAAAAAAAAAAAAAAAAAAAAAAAAAGAAGTTAAATAGTTGCAGATGGTATGATCATAATTTTTTAACTACAATTGAAAAAAAAAAATAGATGGGATAGTATATATCGTAATGTAGCACTAACTGTTATACAAGTATAAGAAAATAAAGTTACACCGTTGCTATTACTCTATTAGTAATAGTTTTGGTATAGTAGTTTAATGCAATGGTAAGCGCAAAATCATCAATTATTATTGTGTGGACCATAGTCTATACAAGTTGTGTGAACCATATTTTGTATACTGTAAAATAATGTACATTCAATACAAAAATAATGTACATTCAATACAAAAATAATGTACATTGTATTCAGGAGATGTACATTATTTTTGTTCTGAGTGTACATTATATTGTATAATATACATTCAATACAAAAATAATGTACATTTAGTATATTAAAAATATATTTTTTGTTATGGTCCACGTAACATTGTGTGGACCACTTATCCAAAATCATCATGACAATTTATTTATTCATAAATACTTAATTGGTATTAGCCCAAATCACAAGTTTAATGGATATGAATGTCTTAGTTAACTTTGCCCCTCGTAAATTCAATGAAGTGGCGGATCATCTTGCCAAGATTGCTCCTCACTTCAATTGTGACTGGATTGAGTTCCATGTCCCTCCGAATTGACAATGAAAATAGTCGTCGCTATCAGATAGTGCATACTAGGTAAATTCCACCTTGTGATTTTAACTAACAAAGGACTTACCACAAGAAAATAAATAAACTTAGTTTGTTCATAATTGATCAAGTCAAACAAAGAATTACAAAATTACCAATAGAATGCTCATACTGAGAGTCCAACTTGTAACCTTGCCAACTGAGTAATATTTTCGGTAATGTATATTGTCCGACACAAGAAAAATGGACAAAGATTAGGTATACGATTCAATTGCCAACTTACATTGGGCTTGACAACTGATAGTATGTATAAATAGTTGCTCTTTCTCTTGCTGTATTAGTTGGAAGTAAAAGATTGAAATGTTTTCAACTCAATTTACATTAAAAGAAATTATATTAGAAAAATATCGCAATTGCAATATTTTGTTTCTATTATATTTCAATTGCATATACTTAAGTTTAGTGACCTGATGGTACAAAAATAATAAATTTAATAGCCCATTTGATATTTTTCTCCTTAAAAAAAAATTGTTAGTCCATCAATGCTAGTGTTGGTTTTACAATAGTTGATAAATATATTGTCTTTAAAAATAAAAATAAAAAAGATAATATATGTCTAATTAAACAATGCCGATCTTGACTAATATATCCTTCTTTTTTTTTTGAATGCTACTGACTTTATTACTTGTAGTATCTATTCAAACATACTTTATCAACTTAATGAAGCACACAAAGTCAACAACGCCTCCACTGATACTCGATCTCATGACCTCCCACATGGGAAAGGTCACTAAGTATTTTCCTTTATATATATATAAATTAAATATATCAGCTTACGCTATTACCTTCAAAATAAACTTATGGAAGTGAAAAAAAAAAATGTTTAGATACGAAATCTAGAATTAAAAAAAAAAAAAAAAAGTCCACTAGCTCAATATCTATATTTTCTGTTTATTATAATAAAAACAAAAAATAAAATACAACGAATATTTGTAGCTCAGTGGATAGAGTGTCTATTTCCAAAGCAGAAAGTCATAGGTTTGACCCCTTCTTAGCAGCGAAATTTTACTGATTGAATTCCTTGTGCGCACATGAACACTGGGAACGGAGAACAGTGAGCTAATTGCGCAACTCACAATTTACTTTCGCAGTGAGCTAGTGATTCTAGGACGAGATCCTGTGGGCTTGGGATTAGTCCGGCTAATTATCCACCGTCGTCTCCCCCAACCACCCCTAGAGGTGTGATTCTAGGACGAGATCCTGTGGGCTTGGGATTAGTCCGGCTAATTATCCACCGTCGTCTCCCCCAACCACCCCTAGAGGTGTTAATTAGGTTATCAGGCTTATTAATTTTTTTTGTCGAGTTTATTTAAAATTCTTGACTTGAACTCCAAAACTTCGAGCTATGGAGTTTATCAGACGAGTTAACTAAAATTTTTGATATTTTCACATTAACATTTTAAACTTTCATTTCAAAAAAAAAAAAAAATCATTATAAGATTTTAACTTTAATAAACTAATACATTAATAAATATAAAGTTGTACATCATTCAATCAATCTAAACATTCATGTTAATAAATGCAAATTTGAAGTACTTATATATTTTAACTTAACCTAATATTTTCCGTAATGTATATATATTGTCCGACACAAGAAAAATGGGTGAAACTTAGGTATACGATTCAATTGCCAGCTTATATTAGGCTTGACAACTGATAATTGAAAAATATAAATAGTTGTAGGTTTCATCTACAAATATTAATAAGAGACAGCAAATAGAAATTCAATGAACATCTAATAGGCTCAGGCCGGATTTGAAGTAGCCATGAAAATGGGCGGAAAGCTCTCCATACTTCTCCTTCTTCCCATCTTCTTCTTCTTCTTCACCACATCTACAGCTTCAAGAGATATTTCAGAATTGCCCCACTTTAACAGCTCTTTTACTGCCAAAGCCAACCAGCAGGTAAACTCATAAATTCAATTCAAAATCTCCAACTGTCTCACGAATCTTCATCCGTAAAACAGGTGGAATTTTTTATAAATATTATAATTTTACTATAAGTAACTCCTCAACTTCTAATGTTATATTTTGATTTAAAAGTATCACATATTTCTTAATTAGTACAAAGTACTATATTTGCTCTCATTAATAACAATTAATCAATTTATTCTTGATTAATATTAAATTTTGTCTCATAAATAATTTTTCAATCCTAAGTACTATATTTTGATTTAAAAGTATTACATTACATATACTTTCTACTCCGTATTATAAATAACAAACAATTATTCACGATTGGTATTGGTCCGCTATTTAGTAACATAGTTAGCTTATCAACCAATTTTGGCTTATTTGACTGCTATTAGATGTTTAACTTGGTTAAACAATCAATGATTCAATATGAGTGTTTGATTAATTAGTTTTTTGTAAGAGTTTATTGCTCCAAAATGCTAAAATTCAAAAAATTGTTCAAAGCAATTTTTTTATCATCTTTTTTAGAAAATTATTTTGCATATAATCAGCTATTGGCTAATAACAGCTAATTTACTAGACACCTTAATTTTCTACAATCAACTAATGTTATCAACTAGTTAAACCCACTGACCAAATCAGTTAATAGCTATTTACCAAACACGCTCATTATTACATTCTCCGCATAAGCATACATTTCTATACACTTATTGATAAAAATTTATGAGCCGGTCTCACAAAAGATTCACCCTAACATCAATTATTAATCCTATAAATTATATATATAAAAAAAAAAAAAAGGAAATCCCATTTGCATGCATTGATGATCCTTTTCTGGTTTATTCAGATTGCTTTAAACAGGTGTTCATACACAGTGGACATCAGAACAAGCTGTTCCTCAGTAAGATACACCAGAGATAAAATCAGCCTTTCATTTGGTGATGCTTATGGCAATGAGGTAATTAAACCCACCCTATTTGACCATTTTTTTTTTAATGAAGAGAGAAACCTGCAATTACTATCAATAAACTCTGTCTTGTGACCTTAACTGATATTTTCGACGACGTTCCTGAAAACAAAGAATGTGTAAATGCAGGTGTATGTAGCAAGGCTCGACGACCCAGATTCGGATACATTCGAGAGATGTTCCAGGGATAGATTCAAGATTAAGGGGCCATGCATGGATGATGTGTGTTATCTGTATCTATACAGGATGGGATCGGACGGCTGGAAACCGCAGAAGGTGACTGTGTACATGTCTGCTTACAGGTATGTCACGTTTATATACAACAGATTTATACCCAGAGGAGTGTGGTATGGCTTCAATCACTGCGATAATGCTGCAACTGCTGCGTAGACAAGACAGAAGAACTGAGATTGATTACTTATGTATGTGTACTCGAATGGATGGGGTTTTAAGAATTTGGAATAAGTTTTCTTGTGGCCTATGTTGTTAATTTCGAAATCAGGATTTATTACAATTACATATTTATATCATCTTGTAATCTACTTATATTTTCTTTGTTAAGTACGTACATAAAGTCATTACTTAAGTATAATGTTGATGCAGATTAAGCTTAGCTTTGTTTTTAGTAATTAACATATAGAAGGAACATTATGAATCTATTATAAAGTGAATAATGGAGACACGTATGATGATATACATTATTGTTAAATTTATGGACATATAAAATGAATATTATGAATATATATATTACATGATGAATGTTATTTACGTACATTGACACTTGTTTTTATAAACAAATAAAAGGAATATTATAAGCCAAGACATTGTGGTCTAATGACACTAAGATTGGACTCCCATATAGGAGGTTGTGAGTTTGAGCGTGGAGGCGATATTGACTCTTTGTACTTCAGTAATTTTTAATCAAAAAGAATTTTTCAAATTTTTTATTTTCCGGTCTCTCATATCTTTTCAAGTTAATTTTTAAAGAGTAAATACCCAAAATGGTCCCTATACTATAGCTAAATTCACAAATTGGTCCTCGACTTTCAATTTTAACCAATTAAGTCCTTAACTTTGCAATTTTAACACGATTTGGTCATCCGTCTATTTGATCGTTTGTTGACCGTGATCTCTGAGGATATATATATATATATATATATATATATATGTAATTTCATGATTCTGCATCATTCACCTCCGGCGATTGCGCCGTCATCGACGATCTCCAGAAGAACCTGCAACTCTCGTCAGAGCACATGGAGGCCTCCAGGATGACGAAAGGGGACCGGATTTGGTAGATTGCTTTTCGGCAGTGGATTCAAATGTAACAGTGCGGTCTCAAAATGCAACCGGAACCTTAAAAATCGACGATGGACCATGAAATTACATATATATCCTCAAAAATCACAGTCAACAAACGGTCAAATAGACGGAGGATCAAATCGTGTTAAAATTGCAAAGTTAAGGACTTAATTGGTTGAAATTGAAAGTCGAGGACTAATTTGTGAATTTAGCTATAGTCGAGGGACCATTTTGGGTATTTGCTCATTTTTAAATTATTATTACCACCACCACTATATTATCATCATATAAAATAATATTTTCATTTAAAAAAAAATAAACTTAACAAAAAAATATAATTTTGTAACATTTTTAACGTTCAACACACTAACATTAAGTGTTGGCTTTATGATAGTTGATAAATATGCTTTAACGGAATAATGTCAAATTTTACTAAACAATTCTTTTATTACCTTCAAAATAAACTTATGAAAATAAGAAAAAAGTTTAGATACAAAATCTATTTTTTTTTTTTTTAAAAAAAAAAAAAAGGAAAACGGCCTAACAGCTCGACATTATATATTCGATGTGGCAGATATAGTTAAAACGAGAACTATTAGACTTATATAAATAAATAGAAAAGGTGAACAATAAGCGTCTGTAGCTCAGTGGATAGAACATCTGTTTCCTAAGTAGAAAGTCGTAGGTTCGACCCCTACCTATCGCGAAGTTTTAGCTTGTCAGCCTCCACATTTCATTATTCAAGAACTGTATGTCCATTCTTCATCACTTATTTACAGCAGTAACAACTAACAAATATATGTAAACAGAAATGATAATACTGAATAATGCGAATTTTGGCTCAACAATTCTTTTATTAGCTTCAAAATAAACTTATGAATATGAAGAAAAAAGTTAGCTCATTAGATATTTGATGGGAAGTCATAATAACGAGAAACAGGCAAAAGAAAGAAAGGAGTTTGCTTTTTGACCTTTTTCCGTTTGGAACCCCACATTTGCTTCAATAACAGGCGAAAGATAGGATTTCTTGGTACTTCGTTCTAATAAGTCTTGCTCCTCGGGCGAGCGCTTTTTCCCTGCCGGCGAAGAAGTTCCAGAGAGCACCATAATGTTTCAAGTATGAGTATCCTTTTTTATTCATAATTATATTATTGAACTCTATATTCATAATTACAAAATTCTATGTTCATATTTCCAATTGTTGAACTCTGTATTCACAAATCACTGAACTATATGTTCATAATTTGATAACTATACAGTTTAGAAATTATGAATCTATAGTATAGCAATTATGAATCTACAGTTTAAAAATTATGTATCTATAATATCGAAATTATAGCATAATTTTACCAAAAATAAAATATGCATTCAACCATTTAATTTCATGCTAATGAATCAAAAGGAATGCCAACTGAACCAGCCATATTTCGTTACAATGTTTATTAGCATCCATCCTCTAAATTGAATATTAGCACTCCAGCAGTCCAGCTTTACTCAGGCTTCATGTATTCATGTTTTACTTTGTCCCCAAAAAATCTCTCCAGTTAGTGTATGGCCCGCCCGAACAGTATTCCTACGAGATTTCGAAGTTTGCTACGCCACTCTAGAGTTTTCTAGAGTTTGTACATATCATCCCTTAAGTTATAGAATAGTTTGGAAACATGTACATAACACTAGAAGATGTTCTCAAAAAAAAAAAAAAAAACTAGAAAATGTAGTGATACCTTAGAATATTTTAGAACATTAGGGAATCCTCTTGGTTTTGTAGACAGTCATGGAGGATTATAGAGAACAAATTTTAGCCATAAAATCAAATAGATTTCTACCATTCATTGAGGAGGTAGAACCCGTATAAATACCCCTCAAGGGTGCCTCATTTGTAATCAATCCAAGCAAGTTTAAGTGCTCAAGTAATCTAAGTTCCCTTCAAAGCTTTTAAGTGCTCTTCTTGCGATAAATAGAGAACACAAACAGCTATGGATGTCAATAGAAGATAAAGTACAAATTGAAGAAACCCACAATAGTTATAATGAATACCACTTACAATTTATTGTTATATATAAGGAAAAACAATTGGCTTCATTAGCTATCAAGTTTAAAAGTTGCATTAAGGACTTGTTTAATAATAACATCCCAAGTTGAAAAAAGCTTTTTATCAGGTCAAATGCTAATAGTTCCGTTTTAAAGCTTGTTTCTCATAATTAGAACTTATACAATTTTTTTCACAAAAGTAAGCATTACCATACTGGTGTAATAGGCCATTGGGAATAAGATCTTGGAAGCATCATAGTAAACTCTACCATAGACTTCAACTTCAGCTGATTTCATTAATTTCAGAACCAGAGAAAGTTGAAAACTGAATATTTTTTCTGTAAAATGACAATGAAATTAGAGTAAATGTGCGGATTAAACTCAAAAAGACACTTGAAAATAATGAGAAAACACAAAAAGGTCAAATTAAGAAGAACAGAAAACACACATTTTCTTAGGACCTACATCTTCAATATAGACTCTCGTTGAATTGGCAGCGAAATGGGATTCCTTGTTTCCAATTAGAGTCAGGTTTATCTTAGTCCTTGTTGACCTGCTCCCTATCAAGGGTCACGCTCTCGGGAAGAACTTCTTCACCCCTTTAGAGAGCTTTTTTTTTTTTTTTTCTTTTTCAACCACTGATTCATGACTGAATTTTCTGCCCAATGTAAGCAAAGATGATCTTTCTGTTTTTGCCAATTAACCAGGAAAGACCAAGTATTTTCCATAATAACAACAACAACAATAATAATAATAATAATAATAATAATAATAATAATAATAATAATGAGTAAGGGTCAAATAGACCATCTAACCACACAGTACACTGCAAATGGGCTATCGAACTCAAAAGAACTACAGTTAGGTTCTTAAAATGACATGTTGACCTGGTAACATGCTGACGTGTAATTATCGAATTTTAAAATATTTTTTTAAATTTTATTTTAATAAATTTAAATTAAATAATTATTAAAAAAAAAAAAAAAAAAACTCCGCTTCTCCGGTATGGACATTTTGAATTTTATACTACTTATTCCATTTCCATCCATGCATACCAAACATTGGAATTAAAATTCTCAGTAATTCTCACTACAAGAAAAATCGCGATTGGTGACGGAAAAATTCGGTCGCCAATCACATTTTGCGACAAAAATTTTCATTTTCGCGACAAAATCCATTTCGTAGTCTAAAGTCTTGTCGTATTTCATTTTGTGACGGAAATAATGCGTTGCGAGCGATGGCGACGGAATTGTCCGTCGCGAAATAGGCGACGAAAGTCATTCTGTCGTGAGTCCGTCGCGGTTTTGGCAACAGAAATGTTTCTTTCTATTGCCATTGCGTGAAAAAATATTCCGTCGCAAAACTCATATTCCGTTGCATATTTCTGTCATGAAATATAACGACGAAAATAATTATTGTCGTGAATCTGTCGCTAGCCTTTCTGCTGCAAATTTTGTATTTCGTCGTAAAAAATGACGAAACAAATTATCGTCGCGATCCGTCACAAACTTTTCCGTTGAAAATTTCGTCTTCCGTCGCACAAAGTCATTGTAAGAAAACGACGGAACAAATTTCTATAGTAATTCTATCGCTAGATATTCCGTTACAAAATTTGTTTTCCGTCACAATTCCGTCGTAAAATAATAACAGAACTAATCACTGTAGTGATCCCGTCACGTTTTGGGTGACAAAATTCTTTCTTTCGCCACAATTACAATGAATATTCCATCGCTAAAATTATATTCCATCGCAGTTCTGCTAAATTATTGTTTTAATATTTTTGTAATTATTATTATTTTGTTAAAATTCTAATATTTGTATTTAAAATTTTAATGTGCAAACTAAAATACAATATAATTTGTTGTACTTAATACCAAATTAATGCCTAAACAACAATATAGTAATTCATAAAATAAAAATCAAATCAAGGTGAATTTGGTCGTGATGAGGGTGATGACGAAGTAACAGCTCTCTCACTCTCAAGAGCATTTAATCTTTGTTGCATAAAAATCATAAAAACCTTCAAATTCTCAAGCTCATCTTGGACCTTTGTAGAATTAGCATTCTCTAATGGCTGCGAAGTTGATGCAAACAGCTATTGAACACCCCATATATATTTGCTAGCTGTTATAGGTATAACGAGAACCATTTAACGAGAAGCGTCTGTAGCTCAGTGGATAGAGCGTCTGTTTCCTAAGCAGAAAGTCGTAGGTTCGACCCCTACCTGACGCGTAGTTTTATATTATCAGCCCCCACATTTTCATTATTCAAGAACTGTATGTCCATTCCTCATCACTTATTTACAGCAGTAACAAATATATGTGTACAGAAAACACAAATGATAATACTGAATAATGCCAATTTTGGCTCAACAATTCTTTTATTACCTTCAAAATAAACTTATGAAAATGAAGAAAAAAGTTAGCTCATTAGATATTTGATGGGAAGTCATAATAATGAGAAACAGGCAAAAGAAAGAAAGGAGTCTGCTTCTTGACCTTTTTCCGTTTGGAACCCCACATTTGCTTCAATAACAGGCGAAAGAAAGGAGTCTGCTTTTTCACTGATCTGCACACACAACATGGGAGCAAATTAAAGCAATACAGAAGAGATAGATAAATGTAAGGTAAAATCAACGATCCGGGATGATCTTACATTGGTGTTTCAGTATCAAGGCTTTCCCAGGCGAGATGAATGCTGTGATTCAATGGAGGACCCCTGTAGACATGGACATCGAGCCCATCGTCTCCATATTCTTCTAGTCGCTTTTGTTGAATCTGTTGAGCAGAAGCCACAGCAGTGTCTCTACACTCGTGTAACACGATTAGCTGCAGTGTGTCAATGTCTACAAAGGCGTTGGGAATCTTTAGCAAGCGATTGCAGCTCCTTAGAGTCAAGTGTTCGAGGCATGGGAAGTGATCTGCAGTGGCTTTCCAATGCCGGAGATTTGTCTCTCCAAGTAGTAAGAATTTTAGTCGACGAAACCCTTGCTCAGCTGGTTCCCATTCTGGGCCCTGAAATGCTTTATCTTTGGCCTTGAGTACCTCAAGGTTAGGCAACATACCAATAGTGTCCATATCCTTCCATGGCAAAAATGTGTTACTAAGTGTCAACTTCTTGATACTTGATGGAAAAGACGAAAGCTTTGGACGAAAGGCATCTCCTTCAACTACAAAACTTAAAGTCTCTACCCGATTCAAACAGGCAAGATTATCAAACCAATTCTTCCTTGCTCTACAACAATTGTAATCATCTTGGGTACAGAAAATCTCCAACTTCTTTATATTCGGAATTTGTTGAAGCACTTCCTTTGTGCAAGACAATGGACGCAACCCAGAAAATGTCTGCAGATTTTCAAGAGCCACGCGTTGTTCCTTTCCATCAATCTCTGCACTTTGAAGAGGATCACTTAAGTAACACCTGACAAGGAGATGCCTTAGTTGTGGCATATTCCATATTGTATTTGGTAAACTTACATATTCTCTTGGGGGAGTCCTGATATGAAGTGTTTGTAGATTATGGAGCTTGGAAATTGTAATGGGAAGGGGAAACTTATGGCCAGTGGTGAAAGCTAGGTATCTGAGATTAACTAGACCTACTATTGCTCGAGGTAAAGCAATGAGTCTATCTACAGGGAGGTCTAGAACTCTAAGCAGTTTGAGATGTGAATGCTCTAGCTTGCGAAACATAAAGAGCAGAAAGCCACCATCAAAAAACAAAATGGAACGAGCTACCTTCAAAGTATTCGGATCGAAATAAAGGTCATCAACATTGTCACTAGTACGCGCTTGGAGACTAATCCTTCTGTGAACTTTTTGTGAGGGCTGGAATGGGAAACCTGCATTGCTATGCTCACTCTGAACAAAAGCAAAGTTCTCATTTCTTGATTTCGTCAAGCAGAACGCAAACAAGAGATCATGGACTTTACATGTTTTGATTTCACCACTCAAACTTTGCTTTCTCACCAGCACAAGACTCCTATCAACAAGATCAACCAAACACTCCTCAGCCACTTCTTCCCCCGTCTTATCCCCATCCACCTTTAAGAACCCCTCTGCGCTCCATAGTCGGATCAATTTCTTTACAGGAATCTCACTGTCTTCAGGAAAAACTGCAAAATATAAAAAGCAGGCTTTCAAGAAATAAGGCAAATGGTTGTAACTTAAGGACAGTATTCCTGCACATTGTTGATCCACATCCAGTTTTAGAAGTGAATTTATAGTCCCAGCAACCTTCTCCCATTCATCCAATCTCCTGTCTAGTTTCGATAAAAGGCTAGCAACCACAACGATTGCCAGTGGTAACCCTTGGCATTTCTTGGCAACATCCTTACCGATTTTCACAAACTCGGGAGGAAAATCTTCCCAAGAAAACACTCTCTCATTGAACAGATTCCAACTTTCATCCGCATTAAGAAAGCGCAATTGGTGAGGGGGCTTACTTGAACTAGCATAAGTTGCCACTTCTTTTAGTCTAGTGGTCAACATAATCCGGCTACCATTTTCATCATCTGGGAAATATCTTTTCAGGTCATCCCAGGCCTTAGTAGTCCAGACATCATCCAGGACAATTAAGTATCTATTGCCCTTCAAACTTTTGTACAATCTTTCGGCTAGTTCTCCCTGATTTTGTCTCTTGATTTCATCATGGGTTAATGCAACAATACAGCGAAGAAGGCCTAGCAAGATTTCCCCAATAGTGTACTCTTGAGACACAGTGATCCATGCGCGTTTATCATCAAAATGAGACATAATCACAGGATCATCATAAACACTTGAACAAAAAGTTGTCTTACCTAGCCCACCCATGCCAAAGATTGAAAGAATCTCTAGCTTCTTAGATGAGTGTCTGGTGAGCTGATTTTTCACCATACCCAGTTCATAATCATGTCCAATCATAACACTGAACTTTGAAGATTGTCTCGATGGCTTTCTCGCACGTGGTTTTGAATTTGATGAACCTTTTGGTAAACTGTTTCTCCTTTCCACTTCTCTCATAATCATCCCTCTACTTCTCCTGCTCTTCATTTTCATCAATCCTCTATCGATGGCATTGAGGCGTTTCATCACTTTCTGCAAACTCCAACGAAACTTAATCTCTAAACTGTCTATTGAATTTGGATGGTGAAAAAGCTTTCTCAACAGCCCATGACTAGGACTCTCATTAACCAGATAAAGCTCAATAATGTCCTCTGCTTCAAGGGCGACATCTCTAATTTTTGCTTCCAAACCTCTGGTGGCTATGGCTTCCCCTCTGCCAGATTCCTTCTCAGATCCCGTCAGAAATTCTTGCAAATAACCTAGCTTTTTGTACAGCGATTCCATCTGCTTTGTGTGCTGAAGGAGAGTTGGATGAGGTTGAAGTAAGTGGCGCTCTATCGTCACCATGAGTGAAGTTACAGCAGCGTACGCATATGCCATCCCTTCTCTGATCGTTGTGCTTTGTGAACACAAATAGAGAGAGACAGAGAGAGAGAGAGAGAGAGGGGAAGAAGAATGTAAGAATGTTGGATACGAAATGAAAATGAAATTGGAGTAGAAGCAAAAACTTGGTCAAACTACAACTACGCGGTTGTTTTAAAAATGGTACGCTGCAATTTTGACTATTAATTAATTTGCACCATGCAGCATTGACGCCATAATCACCATGTCAACTCATATATTTTTGAGGAAAATATATGGATTGCATTAATAAACAACCAAAGAAAAAATAAAGATCGGTGGAATAAAAAACCACAAATTTAGGGCAGACATAGAATTAGTAGCTCTTACAAGAACATGAGCAACCTGATTCGCTGATCTACTAACATGACGCACACACATGTTCCCAATGTTCCATAGCAATAGTACGACATTGCTTAATAAACGTGGCCAACATACGAAAAGTCTAAAAAGGAAGAATTATAAGCAGTACAAAAATTAAGACAGTCGGATTCTAAAACAACATTTAGAAAGTGATGACTCTTGAGCCAAGATAATGTTTCCCGAACTGCCATTGACTCAGCCATATAAGGGTCACGGTCACACTCATATATTAGTATAGAGAAAATTTCAATTTTCATACACCAACTATTGGAGTGTATTAATTGCAACACTTAACTTTCTATCAATTTTGGTCCACTGACTAAGTAATTTCTATCAATTTTGGTCACTTCAACCAAATTACGGGCGAATTGTGACTGGAAAATCTTTAACTCATTTCATGTTATTCAAACCTCCTTTGGGCATCCTACTCTTCTCCAACCTCCTTCCCTTCGCCGTCGGCGCCTTCAACTCGAACACAGAGATGTCGTCACCTTGCGCGTCTCAACGAAAACATTCTCCACCAGCGGCTTCTCGTCCAGTCCCTCAAAATCGACGGCCCCCAGTAGGAGATCTCTGTTGAACAGTGGGTAAACCAGGAGGATCTTGCCGTTGAAGAACGCGTCCTCGGCGGCGATATGGGCGGTGTCATCTCCGGGGCAAGCGAAGGAAAATTATTCCTCTTCCTCGTCTTCCTCGTACTCGATCTCTTCACCATCAACTCTCTGAGAAAGCTCTAACTCAGACAAAAACTCCCGAGCCACTTCGACGGCAGAAACTTGTTCGCCGTCACGGTGAGAATCTTCAACTGCGCTTTCCATTTTGTGTGGCCGGAAAAGATAGGGATGATTGTTACAGGGGAGAATTATATTGACGGAGGTGGTGGAAGGGAAAAGCGGTTTGGCAGCGTCGAAGGGCAACGACAGAAGCGCGAGGAGGCGGAGGAGCTCCGGCGGCCGCATTATTAGTATATTACTCCCTCCCATTTTATTTGTTTAGTTTGAGATTAACGAGATGTGACTGAAGTTATTTTTAATTCAGTTTTTATAATGTTAAAATTAACAATAATTAAAAATTACTAAAGATAATAAACAATGAAGAAATAGTTGATTTGACCAATGAATAGTAAACAAGACATGCAAAATGAGACAGAGAGAATATCATATCAATATAGTATGATGTCGAGATCATAATTTATGATCTTAACATAATATAATGTGTATCATATTAATATTAAGCTTCACAACAACTATAATTAACACACTCCAACAAATGTTGAACCCTTGTGTGGTTTCAAATGAGATTAATGCCATTATCTAAATAATGAACTTTACATTGATGTGTAAAATTTAATTAAAGAGACATATTAATTAATAATTTAACATTAAGATGAGAGTAGGGTTGACTACAGTTCGGTTTGAACTGTCCGGTTCAAACCGAAATCATCATGGTTCCAAATCCCAAAATAAAAAATAATGTTACCGAAAGGAAAATCAATGACTCTTAAAAAAAAAAAAAAAAAAGTTAAGAGAACCACGTGTACCTTGATTCTTATTGAAATTTTGATAAGATACGTAAGCAACTTAATCTTCATAAAATTAGAGTTAATTCTACCGGAGGTCCCTTGTCTTTGGTGGCAATTCCAAATTTAGTCCCACACTATCGTTTTTGTCATTTTACATCCCAGACTATTGCTTTTTGGACACTTTTAGTCCTTCTCATGATTTTTTCTATTTTTAGTAAGGGCATTTTTGTCTCTTTATGTTTTTCTTTTGTTATTTTTTCAATTCGATTTCAACCAGTTTAATTGGTTTAGAACTTTAGGTAACCTCTGATTTTTATTAACCCACTAACCATATTTTTCAACCAATTTTTAGTAAAGTCATAAAGATCATAGATTCCTAGCCTCGAACTTCTTTCCTCAACTCTACCATAAAGATCCTAGATTCCTAGCCTCGAACTTTAGTACATCATCTCTAAAATCTATCTTCTCGAAGTTCAAACATAAACTTTTCTAATTTTGTACATGGTAAAATAGTAAAGATTTGACCATAAATATTTTCTTTTTACAATTTTCTAGAAATAGAAAATTTATGTTTGAGAAAGCAATTTAGAACCGTGAGAATATTCTAAGTTTCCCTCCTAAGCTAATTAGACACAAAAGTGTTTAAATCCATCAATTTAATAAAAGTAACTATGGGTTTAATTGTATTATTGCAGAAACTGATTCGGAAGCAATGGTTCAAGCTCTCGACAAAGACACGAGTAGTAACCCTGAGACAGACACACTCCTATGAGATTGTAAGTTCCTCTTGAACCAGTTTCAGGTGGCCAAGCTTAATCATGTGTTTCAATTCGCAAAGGTAACCAATGCGCCGATTTTCTTGCTAACTTGGGGCAATCTCAAATTTTGACACTACTATCCTCGATCAGTCTCCTGAAGACTTGAAGAATCTTTTGCTGCGTGATTTACACAGTGTTGGAATCCTTTGGGGCCTTTGGTCCCTTCCTACTACCAAAAAAAAAAGTTAACTACGATGGAAATAATTAAACATTAAAATAGCAGCTTCATATGTCCATGCGATAAAAGGTGAGCTATTCTTATTTTCTTATTGCTTCTTATCACCTACCATATCTATGTGCCCACTGGATACAATAGATATTATATTGGTTTGCAATTTTCTATCCTCTAAAGTTAGTGTAATAAGTTATTCAAATTGAAGTTATTTTACTACTTTTCACCCACAGTTCAACCATAATCTCCAATTAAAATAGCACTCTTAACTTTCAACACATTAACATACGTGTTGAATTTACGATAATTGATAAATATGCTTAACTGAATAATGTCAATTTTTACTAAACAATTCTTTTATTACCTTCAAAATAAACTTATGAAAATAAGAAAGAAGTTTAGATACGAAATCTTTCTTCATTTTTTCTTTTTTTAAATTAGGGAAAACGACCCAGCTGCTCGACATTATACATTTGATGTGGACTTATAATTAAAACGAGAAACAAGAATCAAGAAGCGTCTGTAGCTCAGTGGATAGAGCGTCTGTTTCCTAAGCAGAAAGTCGAAGGTTCGACCCCTTCCTGACGCGAAGTTTTGTAGTGTCCAGCCCCCATAGGCCCATATGTGTGTGTAATCGAGAGTCAGCATCATGCTCCTTCACTATTTAATTGACTGAAGCATAATATATGTACATTAATGTTTTGGATCAAGGTTAACTGTAAAGTACCATGATTCCTTTGTACACTAGTCCATATAGCTTCTAAAACCTAAAGTCCATGATAATAAAAATTTGTCAACGCACCAACATAAAGAGTATTAGCTTTACAATATTTGACAAATATATCTTTACATGCAAGATGAATACCATATTTGTAGTCGCTCTTGTTGAATCTGCTGAGTAGAAGTCATAGTAGAGTTTCTACCACGACTAGCCTTGCAGTGTGTTAATATCTACAAAGCCATTGAGAATCTTTATCAAGCTATTGCAGCTCCTTAGCCACTAGTTTTTTTGCCCATATATCATCCCTCTGCGCCCAACCAACCCCTTTGCCTAGTCAACCTCCACCATTCATCCACCAAGTTATAAGCTCTTCTAATAGAATTCCCGACCCTTTTGGTTGCATATATATTATACTAAAGAATACTGTTTAGAAGAAATATAATTAATATATATGCAAACAAAAGGGTCAGGTATTCTCTTTTGAAACTTTAACAACATCATCTCTAAAATCCATCTTAGCTTCTCGAAGTTCAAACATAAACTTTAATTTTTTTTTAATCTAATTTTGTACTTAGCAAATTAATAGTCAGACTTGACCATAAATATTTTGGTTTTACAATTTTCTAAAAATAGAAAGATCTAAGTTTAAGAAAGCAAATTTAGAACTATGAGAATATTCTAAGTCTAAGTTTCCCTCCCAGGCTAATTAGACATTCATCCATTTAATGAAAGTATCTAAAATGGAAATAATTAAATGTTAAAATAGTAGCTTCACATGCCCATCCATACCATAAAAGAAGAGCTATTATCATCTTATTTTCTTATTATTGCTTCTTATTACCTGCCACCTCTATATGCCCAAAGGATACAACAAATCGATACTCTATTGGTTTGAAACTTTCTATCCTCTAAAGTTAGTGTAATAAATTCTCCAAAATTACCCACCATTTCTTTCTTTCTCTACATTTGTCTCAATATCTCCTTATTCCCGAAATATAGTAAAATAACTTCAATTTATGCACTTTTCACCCACAAATTCAACCATAATCTCCAATCAAAATAACACTAATTACCAGTCAATTAAATCCCTACCTGCAATCCAATAAGCTTCGCTACCCTTTTGGACAAGAATGCAATTAGTAGGTTATGAATCTAAATCCAAAACTCAACATAAGATAAGTTGATAGTCATGTGGTTCTCAATCTTTGTCATGAAACCATTTCATTACCACCAAATTCTATTTAAAAGATCATGGTTCATCCAACCGTGTGAAAGAATGAGACCGTAAAAAAAAAAAAAAAAAAAAAAAAAAAAAGTTATATTGCAAGTCCTTCTTCTCTCAAAAGGTTGAATCCCTAACTCCAAGGGCTCCTCATGCTCCGACTCCGACAGAACATTTGAGAGGATGTAAATTACGGTGATTAAATGACTCAACAGACAGGGTCAAATGTTAATGCGTACAAGGGATCTGCCCACTTTAGACATAATTCACACATTGTCACCGACGAAGTTCAAACGTTGTGGTTCTGAATATATTGCAACTCCTTTATGCTCACGCCCTGTGGTTATGATTCTGAATATATATTACATGATACACAGCCTTATAAACAGAAATAGAAAAGAAAAACAAGAAGCGTCTGTAGCTCAGTGGATAGAGCGTCTGTTTCCTAAGCAGAAAGTCGAAGGTTCGACCCCTTCCTGACGCGCATGTATACTAAAGCCCCGTATTTTTTACTTTATGGCACCTTGTTCAAGAGCTGTGTTTTTTGTTTAGGCTTAGTTCACTGGCACCTTGTTCAAGAGCTGTGTTTTTTGTTTAGGCTTACTTCACTTCTATTTCATTGCATTGGAGATTGTATTGTAGCCATATTTATAGCACAAAAACACTTGTTAACATCAACCAAAATGGTATTATTCAACTTTAATTTGTCCAAGGCAATTACACAAGTGGTCCAGAGAAATTGGAAACCATGTTTAATTATATTCCAACAAGCCTTCTCCAACACAAAACTAAAAATAAAAATACCAGCAAAGCATATTTCATGCAAAATTGAAAAGGTATCTCATCTATTTGCCATCTAAAGAAAGACTAGAACAAAAATACAATAATGCACAACATTTTGGTGGCAAGCAAGCTAAGGTCAATGGCGGTGACATACAACAACACTAGATGCAGCATTGCATTATTCCCAACTCTCTCTACTCATCAAAAGTGCTCATAAATCCACCAACAAATCCAGCTCCATTGCAGTTCCCACATAGAATCTCCTTCTTACCCCTGCAGATGAAGCACGGATATAGTTACTGAAAGCAAAGCGATTATTTTCTTAATTCAATATCACCAGCAGCAGATTATCATTGCGGGAAGTTATAGACTTATAGACTTATAGTGCACGTACCTGCAAAGCCAGCATAGTTGCCCGGCTTTGAACTGCCCATTGAAATGGTCGACAGAGTTAACACCGGAGCCTTTGCATTGTTTGCACAATATTGCACCTGATAGATAGATATAATTCAATTGCACGCAAGATATATACTCCGTATAAATTTCAATAAGAAAACAAAACTACCAAGAAAGAAAGGGTTAGAGATCCAATCTACATAAGCAACCAAAAACCCGTCAATTCACTTACCATTTCCCTCACAATCAGCACATACGATGCTGTTTACTTTAGTGGTTTGATTATTGTCTGTGGCCTGTAAACGAAAACATAATATGAGTTTTTGGCTAAACACGATAGAACCAACATAAGAGAAAGGGTAAAAAGAGGGTCTAAGGAATAGAAATCAAATCAACAAAGCCAAAGCCATCTCATAAAAGGATAAGGGGTCTCATAATAGTTATCCTTTTTCTCCAAAGTGCTTAATTTTATTTTTTTTTTCCAATCACCATCTAACATTTTCCAGGAACTAAAATATTTAGCTAAAATGTTTAAAATCTTTAACCACACAAATTTGCAAAATAAGCTTTCTCCCCATTCTTTCTTTCTTTCCTTTTTATCTTATATGCAATGAATGTGGAATCTACCTTCACTTCCAAACCTCTAATGGTTTGAACTCTAGAGCCGCGGGTAATATCAGAGATCCAATCAATCTTTCTTCCAGCGTGGGTGCTAGTAACAGCCCCTAAAACCAAAATCAGGAATCCATTTTAGCATCAATTTCACTTCAAACTTCAAGAAATTAAAGCCAACATACCCTCTACATCTACATATAACTATACACACATAAACTGGATTAGAAAATACAAGAATCTTGAAAGGGCACTCCAATCATCCAAAAATATTAGCTTTAAAAGAAACCCATCACAAATTCAACACGAAGGCACACAATACGAGTGAGTACCCATTGGCACAAACAGAGAATTAGTATCTAAAAGCAGAGTATAGAAGGAAGATACCAGGTTTGCTAAGTGGTTTGAAGGAGGCGAGAGGTGTAAAGCATAAAGAAGACGCCATTTGCTGAGCGGTCTGCTAGTCGGAGAAGATGTTGGTAGTAACGAAAAATATCAGCAGAGATAGCCCACTGGCTAGTAGATACTGCGACTAGATAGATAAGGCTATCGGCTAGTTTCTTCTCTGGTCACTCATAAACATTTCTTCTCCAAAACTAACTCTAGTAACATTTATTTATATTATATCTTTCCAAAAAAAAAAAAGGTAATATTGAGGGGTGTAGTTGAGCGAAAGTCGAAAGAGGCTCATTTCTGCGTTTCTCGACGCGGTCGAGCGTAGCCTAGTGCCTAATCGGCGTTACGATTCTTAATTGTTATCATTTTTAAATTATTTTAAATAATAATGTGACAAAAATAAAACGGAGAGGAAATTACCATGTTTTAATTTTGTTATTGATGGTTAACAAACGGAACTTTGAATAGAGAACTAAATTGAGTAAACCATAAAAGTTAAGAACTAATGTAAGCATACAAAGTTACTTAAGATTAAATTAAGTAAAATCTCTTTTAAAAAAATAAGTAAAATCAATATAGTTGAGAATTATATTGAGTATTAGGGTGCGTTTGGAAACTCGAAAAATAATTTCTGGAAATCATTTTTCGAGTTTTTCGTGTTTGGCTAGAGGCAAAAATGAAAATTAATGAAAGATAGATGTGTGGTCAATGAAAAATAGAGAGAATTTTTCAAAAATTCCTCTTTTGTTGAGTGAAATCATTTTCTGTTTGTAGTAAGGGAACAGTTAATGGCCCACCGACTCGTCACCACCACCGTCACCATTATTGTACACTTTAAGTATTTAAAATTAAAAAATAATTATATCCAATTTTCAAAGAACGAACCAAACATTAAAAAAAAAAATTTATGAATCATTTTCAAAAAAAACATTTTCTAAGAGTTATTTCATTGTTTTCTAAATACACCCTTTAACTCGATTAATTTTACGGAAAAAAATAAGAAAAAAGAAAAAAAAAATATTAGTTATCCAGCTCTTCTAAATCACAAAAAATGTTAGCTCAAGACAGCCAACGATAGTTCCAAGCTTTCATCCCATATTTTCCGACATCCAACGACCAACGCCGCTTCTGTTCAGCCTCAGGCGGCGTTCATCGCTTCCAGCCAGTCAAGGGAGCCGCTTTCCCGCCAGATCGCCGCGCCAGTGACTCAGTCTGCTGTCACCGTCGGCCGTTCACTGCTTTCACAGCCAGTCAGCCGCTGCCGCCGTTGCTCACACCCCGATCATCGCAGCCATCGGCATTTCAGATCTCGACAACAAGTCCAGCAACGACAACAAGTAATTTTTTTTTTTAAATCCTTATTTTATTTAATTAATTGGGTTTATTTGTTTAGGGTGAGATTGTGAGAATTCGGTGGGTGATTGGACGATCGAATTAGGTATATTTTCTTGTGAGCTCTAGTTTTAGTTGGGTTTTTTTGCCGGCTAACTGTGGGTACCGGAGGATTGTGAGAATCTTGCTGTTTCCCATTCTAATTTATAGAAATAATATAGTTAAAATGGCTTTATTATTTTGGAAGAAAATTGTTTTGTTCTTTAATGTGTATGTTGAATCATTGAATTACTACAAATGTGCATTTACTTCATTTATTTGACTCTTTAAAAATCCTACAAGATTACAACATTGAGTTACCATGTCAAGTAAATGAATTAAATGTCAAATATTGAATGCAACCGTGTAGTAATTCAATGACGAAGAGTTGAAAGGATATAGAGAAAAAGGAAACATCGTTTTTGTTTTCTTGGAATCAACCCTTTTCTTCCTCGGTGGTTCTTTGAGTGTCAGTATTGTACACCCAGAGAAAAAAGGTCAGATTTTTTTCTTTTCATTTCATTCCTTTTTTCTTTTCTGGTTTGTTGGGGATTGCATGCGTCAACTTTCTTGACTATCAAAGCTTTCTCTTGTGAATTTTGAATGTTGACTTTCATTTTATTTGTTATGTTTACTGTTGCCATAGACTGTGTTTGAATTGCAACGTTTTTATATGTATTGCCTATTTGTATATGCATCAATTAGAATTTTCCTTGGAGCTTCAGAGAATTCAGATTTGATGTTTTTGATTGAGTGAGTCCTGTTTTATTTTCTTTTGTTTTAAATTTTGTTCCCATTTTCTGTTGGACTTGATTTCAGGGATGGAATTATTGAGGAACAAGAAGTTTTGAAATGTGGGATTTCGGTGCTATATTCTGCTTAAGATGGAAAAGTTGTTTTGAATGATTTGGTTTTTGAGAAGTCAAGATTGAATCTCAAATGGACATATCAAATCGTAAACATTTGAGATTCTTGGGACTCCAATTCAATTCTCTGGCATGCAAATGTGTAGCTCTGGTTGTGATTGCTTTGGTCCTCAGATCTGTTTTGCTACCCAGATTATATGAATTTGGCAGGCTCTTTGAGCAGAGCAAGTTTTTAGTTGCCCCTAACGTCTCTCTTGCATCAGATTCTGAGTCTTCGATGGAAAAATCGAAATTTTTGGAGGTTCCACAGATCATATGGGGATTGAACAATCAAAAAATTGCTTTTGCAAGAGCTTGTTTGACTGCAAGAATGCTGAAAAGGAAACTGTTGATGCCGAGCTTGAGTGCTTCACTTTTCTACAAAGAAGTTGACCTCTTGCAGCCTATCTCATTTGATAAGGTCTTTGAATTCGGAAGCTTTAATTCGCGCTGTTCTGAGTTTGTCCAATTGGGGCAATATTCGGAGATTTCTAACCAAAGTGATGTAGTCGAGCTTCAAAAGGGACTTGGGAGGAGGTGGACAGTGGAGAAAGATTTCGAGCAATTACTTGAGTTTACCAAGCAACCATATGATCAGTATGAAATTGTCAAGGTAGTTGGAAAGAACCCGTTTTTGTGGCATGATCACTGGCCAGCTAAGGACTACGCAAGGGTCTTCGAATGCTTAGTTTTTGTAGAACAGATATCAAAAGAAGCCGATAAAGTTGTTTCTAAGATCAGAGATGTTGGCCGAGAGGCAAGGCAACAGACGGGGTTGTCTCAGCCCGTGCCTTATGTAGCCGTTCACATGAGAATAGAGAAAGATTGGATGATTCACTGTAAGAAGCTGGAGCAGAGATTAAATATCAGCGAAATTTGCAGCAGTAAGGAAGAGATCATGGATAGAGTCCGTAACATTATAGGCCTCAAAACCCCAATGGTCATTTATCTCGCGGTTGCTGATAGTCTTCTCGAAGACAATTCTATTTTGAATGGCTGGAACGAAGGTTTGCTTCCGTGTGAAAAGAAAAAATTGGGCGTTGTTGAGATTTACAAGAACCATCCGTACCTTATTCAATCAGCTATCGACTATTTGGTCTGCCTAAGGTCTGATATCTTTGTGGGAAACAGTTTCTCAACGTTTTCTAGCCTCGTGGTTCTTGACAGAACTCAAAAAATGATCGAAACGGGTGATGCAAACATGTGTGGCGTGGACGCACATTGGCCATCGTTTGCTTATAATTTAGCCGGGGAGTCTAATGGGCCTCGTGCATGGGTGACAAATCTGTCGGATTCAAGCTTGCAGTCGATTAGCTATGGCTCTAATCATATCTCCTGCTCACTAACTTCCAGGTTATAGTTTCATGGATATAGTGGTATTAACAGTTCTGTTAGATAACACTTGGTCTCTGGAAATTATGTGTAAAGAATATATACAAAATTTGAAATAGCATTTTGATTGGGGTAGTTTCTATGTGAAACTGTATACAATCTGTTTCCTTTTGTAGTTGGCTATTCCACATTGCTCTTATTCTTTCCTTGATCTTATTGCTTTTTTTTTTTTTATTCTACTAAGCCAATGAAAAACACTTTGTCTTTCTTGTGGTCCTTTTGCATTCGAGTTCATCAATTTTTTTTTTTTTTCGATCAGAGCTTGACTCGAGCTTGGTCAACTTCATTCCATGCATAATTATTGTTATCATCCTTCTCCAATTGTAATTTTTGAGTTGGTTATTCTATCTTCTCGACTTTACCAAACAAAGCTTATAGGTTATTAATAATTTAAAATAAGTTCTATCGATCAGAGTCAAAGCCATATTGGTTAAAAATATGATAATACTAAATTTGTAAACTTGAGTATCCTATGCTGCCTATGCATTACATAATCCATACCAAACACTGAAGTAATAATCAAAGAATTCTTGTACGTAGTAGTAAATATTTACTGACAAAAATCAGAATCTACCAATGCAATCCCCAAAAAGAAACAAGAATTATGAGTTCTGAAAGAATTTTAAGTGTAATATTTAACAGCTGAACACCTTCAAGAACAGGGAGAAATCAGCAATGGGGAAAAGGTACAGTATTGCTTCAATCTTATGAAAGTTGCAAAACCAACTTATTTCTCCACAGCCTGACTGACTTTTCTCCGGTTTTTAATCGATCTGGGGAGATCAAGAAGGCGTTGCCTCCACCCTACACCCGCAGTATCTTGTTGTACTATTCTCTTCTCTGGATCACAGCTGAATCCTCCTTGTTCGCTTTCAATGCTTCACAATCGGTATCAACTAACGAGCTGAGGCCTCCAAAACATTCTCCTAATCAAATCTCAAAAACCTGTTATTATTGTCAATGAGGTAATCGTAAATCGTAATCCATACTTGATGGAAAGTTGGCGATTTTGGTCAACTGCTCCCTCGTTAGGCTCCATCTGAATTTTCATCCTAGACAACAGAATAATAATTTCGTCAATTTGTTTTGGTGCAGTGTGCATCTGTTCCATGTTGAGTGCAACGGGTGTATCCCACGGTTCGTAGAAACTCCCTAATCTGTTTTGCGCTGCTATTGCTGGCTTGCAACAAACGCTCATCTTCCTCATATATCACGTAAGGGGCTTCGCCTTTCTTTCTCGACAGTAACTTTGAGGCGCCCTTAAGTACGTGATACTCCCATCCTTGGACATCTATTTTAAGCAGCAGTACTGGCTCTGACTCGTGAATCACATCATCAAGAGGAATCGTCTTTACTTGAACAGCGATCTCTTCGTTAGACTGGAATGCCAACTTGGCACCGGTGGCTGAGATCGCACTATTGTCAAGCCGACCAACCAACTGATAACAAATGCCAGCCAGCAACAAGACAACAAACTATCAGGTTTGGTTTTAGCAGGATACATAGAAAACATAATGGAATTCAAACATCAAGAACACTCAATTGTTCGATCGATCCTCCATGCCTTAGAGTTCAATTAGGCAGCATAATTGCATCAAAACTATTGTAGAGCTGTAACAAGAAATCTAACCAATTGAACTCACCTCAATGGTGTCAAAGTAACCCTTCACAAATGAGCAACTAAAACTCTGTCAATACTAAGATAAAAAAGGATACATATTCTTAAATGCAAGATCTCAGCCACCGGTGCCAAGTTGGTAGACAGGTGACTTGGTAGACAGGTGACTTGGTAATTTACCGGCTATATATTCAAAGCCTCAAAGGTCAAATTGGTAGACAGGTGACTTGGTAATTACAAGGCTACAAGTTCGACTCCTAGCTGGAGCAGCCTATTGGCCTTCTTGGGCCAGTTTGCTATGGACAATCTAAGCTGGTTTACTTGTGGTACTTTACCGGCTAGGGACACAATGCAGATTCAATAGTGGCTGCGGGTTTCTCTAGTCAAAAACAATACATAAAATTCCAACACTAATACTAAAATTGTTACTCCATAATTTATCCTCTACTCTCACAATATCCAAACAAGTTCTTTCATACTCACACTATAAGAAAAAAAGAACCATGAGCAATTTAGACATGCATAGAAACACAAGCAAGTCCTTATTCTGGGCAAGAAAGGGTTAGAGTTAATTCATAACCAATAATATCTATATCAAAAAATAATCATGAAACAACATTAGTTCAAAGGGATGGATACCTTGTGGAATGTAATATTCCCCAAATGATCTGAGGCAGCGGCTTCATACACCTCCACCAAATCCCTAACTCTATTGAAGTATATGCCTTCACAAATCTTCTGCAAGTTCTCAAACACAGGCTCAAAGGCCAAAACTTTAAACCCCATAACAGCAGCTGCGAAACTAGCCATTCCTACATTAGCCCCAACATCCACAAAAATCCCATTCCGATCCTCCTTTTTCATCTTCTCCAGCAACTCCTGCACAGTCTGAGATATATCAGGCTTCCTGAACGCCTTCCCCTTGAGAGTTCTGTTGATATTCTTGTGGGGCTTCTCTGGCAAATTACCGAAGTCGGAAAGGGAGTAGAGGAATGGGTGTTTAAGACCCTCGACGACATTGGCGAAAACGGGATGAGCTTGGGGTGAAGCGTAGCAATCGAAAGGGTTTATAGCGCGGTGAAAGATGGGGGTTTTGAGGGAGTTGAGGTATGGGGTATTATTGGTCGTCTGGGACTGAGAGGTGAGGTAGAAGAAGATGAGGAGGAGTAGGGATGAGGAGATGAAGAGGAGGAGATTCCTGGGGGTGAGAATCTTTGTCGGTTGGTTTCTTCTCCAGGCATTAGCCATGGAGATGGAATCAAATCTGGGGATGTTGAGTGGGATTGATTGCGGAAGGGAGAGTCGGTGATCTACACTACACCATGGAATTGTTATGCCGTGGAACCGGTCCACCGTGTATAATTCACAATTATTAAACTTCATATTCATAATTATAAAACTCTATGTTCATAATTACTGAACTCTAATTTCATAATTATAAAATTCTATTTCATAATTTTTGAACTTCATATACACAATTATTGAACGTTATATTTACAATTACAAAACACTATGTTCATAATTATAGAACTCAATGTTCGTAACTCTATGTTCATGATTTCTGAATTCTATATTCACAATTATGAACAGTTTTACAATTATGTCCACCTTGCAAGGTGGACACGGTTACACAGCATAATTTGTCGATTTGAAGCAAACAATTCAGCTCAACGACAAATTATGTTGTGGACCAGTGTTCGCCTTGCAATGTGAATTCGGGTTATATTCCCAATTTTTAAACTCTATATTCATAAGATTAAACCTCTATATTTACTCACAATACACAAATTTACAGAATTCTATATTCACAATTAAAGAACTCTATATTTACAATTAGAGAACTGAATATTTACTCGTTGAGTTGTTTTCAATATATATATATATATATATATTAAATCATTGGTTGTAAATATAGAGTTCAAAAATTATGAATATTGAGTTTAAAAATTGTGAACTCGGATCCACCATACAAGGTGGACCCCGATCTATGGCATAACAACCGTGCATTGTGGTCCAAGCATCAAATATCCACTACAGTTTCATTTCAACACAACTATAGTATCATTTTGATAGAGTTAATAACCAAAATGATCCCTCGACTATGCCGTAATTACTAATTTAGTCTTCTACGTACTTTCATTCTTATCCAATTAAGTTCTCAATTGTGTAATCTTTATCCAATTTAATCCTCTGTTAACTAATCTGTTTGTTAATGATTAAAATTAAAGATAAAAATTGTAATTTTATAAGCTTTCTCCTTCATCTCTCACTTACCTGTGCCAAACCTTAGATTCCAGCAAATATTCATGGCTTCATATTTGTTGTTACCTTGTAGCCCCGAGCGCGGCAAACTTGGTTTGACATATTGACGCTGCCTTTGCGCTTCGGGTGGAAGGGCATTGTCAGAATATGGCGAAACAAAATTTGAGGCTGTCTGTCAACCCCAAAATGACTTCATTTTACTCCTTTCAGTCTCCCCTACCATAACCACTTGCCCACACAAAATGTAAAATCCCTTGCCCCAGACCCCAGACCTATATGTGATTCTGTTACGTTGTATGTGTTTTCAATTAAGTTCATTTCACTTGGTCCAGTTGCAAGCTAAATGATGGTACTCTTCTTTAAAATGGTGCCTTTAGAAGTTATTTAGTGCGAAGCGACCTTATTTAGCTGGATTCCCTAATTCACCCTTTCAAATATGCGTGCGTAGATGCTGGGAAAAAAAATGGAGAGGGAAGAGTTTAGTTGGCGGATGATCCCACATTCTAGCAGTAGTTAGTTTGAATGTTTTGTTGTGATTTTTTATTTCTTGTTGCAAGTTGAAGTTGAGGTTTTCGTGGCAATGAATTCTCATTTTCCTTCCTTCTATTTATGTGAAAATTTCCTCCATTTCTATTCTTGTTTCATCTTCCTGAATATTACACATTTCTTCCTTCTGGCGTTGGAACCATTCTAGCTAGCTTATGAAATTATATTTTTTCCCTTAATTTTAACTTTCAACAAACAGACAGATTAAAAGTGGACTAAATTGGGTAATAATAAAAGAAAAATATGAAGAGACAAAAATGCTCTTACTAAAAATAGAAAAATAATGAAAAGGATTAAAAGTGTCCAAAAAATAATAGCCTAGGGATGTTAAATGACAAAAATGATAGTCTGGACTAAATTTGAAATTGCCACAAAAAAATAAGGGACCTCTGGTGGAATTAACTTTAAAAAAGTATTTTATTCATAACATTCAATTAACATATTATGTGCATGTAAATAAATTTAAGAGACATGTTACCTGAAGAGACACATAATTTTTTGAAGTGTTTTGTGATAGAAAAAAATGTGTAGTAAGCAAATCACAATAATTAAAAAATATAAAGATTAAATTTAACTTTATTATTATGGAATATAATTAACTCGAATGATTCAAGATTTCGTGAACCAAATGCCCTCAGTATATTAGGAGACATGATTCAAGAAATCTTATTCTTTCTTTCCTACTATCAATGGTGTAATGGTGTAATGGTGTAATAAGGCCAGGAGACATCGCACTTATTTCATAACCACTCCTAGCCCTAGCAACCTCCCATTTTTCATCTCAAACTTGGCATACTGAATCAATGCACTCACTTTAAGAAGGCACCGAAGAAACCTATAGAATATTTCTTTAGCCCGATTAACCTCGTTATATATCAGCTCAAATTAACTTCATATAATCCATCTAAATTTCAAAATATACATAATCAATTTGCTTAATTTTATCAAACGATATTTGTTCTTTATATGCATATTTTGAATAATTAAAAGATTGTAATTGAAAGCTAGATAGATATATGAACATATACAAAAACTCAATGTATATGAAAAATTTAATGTTGATTTTAGGTAATACAATCAACCGAGATTATAAAGGCTCGTATACCAAATGTAAATAATTTATGTCCTATAGGCACATAATTTCATAATACAAGACATAATTTCGTAAAATAAGACACATAATATGTTTTATATTTAATTTTTGTATATTTTAAAATATGTTATGAAATAGATTAAAGATGAAATGTTTTAATATATTGTTTCATATTATCTATTTATTTTAATCTTATCCATTCATTATAAAATACTTTCCTTTTATATTAAATAACAAAGATTCTTAGCGGGTTATAAATAGGTTTGTATAAATAAATTTATACCATAATATTAATGAGTAAAATGAGTTCTTAAAAATTTTTGTATGCTCCTTATTCTCACACTTCCCTGCAGCCCTATATAACCAAACCATGCATCATAATTATGTTGATTATTCCATTTCTTCCTAAAACCTCCTATTCCCAACCATAACATCCTCAATGCTTTTTTAAATAAATCTTCATTATCAAGTACAAACTTATATATATGCACCAAGCTCTTTTTGCCTTCTTGTACTGTTGTACATATCTTTGAACTCTACAAATGACCCAAACTTATATATGCACATCATCACAAACAAGTGCTCACTTATCCACTACCCTCTCATAATAACTCCTAGCCTCTCATAACCACCCTAGCACTGGCAACCTCCATTTTGCCTCATAACCACCAAGAATTAATCTCATTATACCTCACATTAACTTCATATAAAAGAGCCTCTCTTTTCTAAGAATTGAAGAAGATAGGACACATTTGATTGGAATATTAGTATTAGAGTTGGAATAGGAATTAAATACCGCTAATCTGAAATTTTATAAGGAATGAATATTTTCTTTCATTAATGATTTGAATCTATAACCTAAGGGATTGAATATTATGAATATTTTCTTTCCTATTTGAATCTATAACCCTAAAAATTGTCATGATCCCTTTACCAAAAAACTAGCCAAATTCTAAAAATGATTACAAGTTCAGAAGCTAGCCATTCTCAAGTAGATATCTTTTGCTTCTTCAATTTATATGGAGCTTCCAAAATTTTAAGATTTGTGGTCTGTGTCATTTCATGAAATAGGTAATCTGTGTATTCTTCATACCCAGCTGGACCAGTTTCTATTTGTCGCCCTCTTTTTGAGTTTTTTTAGGTAGTTTGGCACGGACCAATCCAACATCACCAAAGCTGCTTTCCATGTTTAGCCATTCTTCTAAAAGCATCGCCCTCTCCTCTTTCAATTTAGGTGCTGAAGTTCTAAAGTAAACTAGTGCCCTTTCAAAGACCTCTGGTACATGAAAGAATAAAAAAAGAATGTTGGTTAATGATTTAGCTTATGTGTGAAAAAAAAAATGCTAGTGTAAAACGAGAACAAATTCAGATATTTTGACCTCTAGCCCGGTGTAAACATTCTTTTTTCTGTTCAGGACTGACTTATTGCTGGTCTGGATTTGAGGAATCCCCTTCAACAGCTGAAGCTTCAAACTTTGCATAACTGATCCATACTTTCAAATTGGTAATTTCGCTAGTCAAGGGATGTTAGATATATTAAATATAATATATTTAATATAATATATATTAAATATAATATAATATATATATATATATATATATATATATATATATATATATATAATATATTAGAGAAAGAGGGAGAGAGAGGAAAGAATGCTTTGTGATTCTAATTGATGATTAGAAATGCTTGAATAACAAATCTATTTATACTAGATAAGATAATTCAAATGCTAAAATAAAGGAGTTAATGCTCCATGTAAAGCTAACATCATGGCCATGTACTGCACCTATAATTACTCCCATTATTTTTAACCAATTAACTAACTACTTGGTTTAATATTAATAATAATAATAATAATATTATTATTATTATTATTATTATTATTATTATAACATTGCCTCCTTTAAACCAAGTTGGATATACTGGTCATCCCAATATCTCTTTCTTCAATTTAAGAAATGTCTCCGTCTTCAAGTTGGATATACTGACTTGTATTTCGTTCTATAAACCCACTTTACTCCAATTGGCTTCTTCCTAGGAGGTAAATCTGTTAACTCACAGGTACCATTCTTTTCAATGGCACGTATCTCCTCATCCATCGCCTTAAGCCAATGAATTTCTGTAGCAGCCTCCTCAACGGATAAAGGGTCACAATCTGCAAAAAGAGCAAATTGAATAATCTCTTCATCCGACAAGTCATTATCATGACCCAAAACATAATCTTGCAAGCGAGCTGGTAAGTGGCGCTCGCGCTGAGATCGCCGAACTGAGGATTCTGGCTGTGAAGGAGACTGGACATTATCTGGAATCGGTTGCTCATCAACAATATTTTCAACAGCAGGTATAACAACTGAACTTTCATCTTTAGCTAACCAATCCCAGGCACCATATTCATCAAAAGTGACAT